TAAAAATGATGATCCCACATATTCGCTAAACGATATATTTCAATATCAGTCGTTGTAAAATTCGTTGAACCAGTAAATGTTAAATAACCTTTTCCAGTTATATCAATATAACTTGTTGGAAATTTAATAAAACTTTCAGAATTTAAATTGCTGTTTGGATAAACACTAATATCATAATGACCAAACGTTGGTCCCATTGCATTAGGTGCAACAGCATGTTCACCTGATGATTTTGTTAAATATTTCGTCGGTGAAATACCATGAGGATTTGCTAATGTAAATAAAAATGCTGTTCGATCTGTAGCATCAGTATTAGCACCTTGATGAAAATTCCAACTTATTGATGTATAACCACCAAATAAATATTTATCTAACGTTTGAATAATAGTCATTGTTGGTCCTTGACTATCACAACAACGATGAAAATCATCAATTGCAAAACCATCTCTTGTTGCTTTATATGTTAAATGCCATTTTTGATTATTGTTACCATAAAATTTATTTAATTGTAATTGATCTTCAGGTGTTAGAAGTGTTCCATCTAAAAATAAATGTCGTGGAGTTGATACATCATAACTATATGATGATAATGGTGATTCAACAAAAACACGAAGAATACTTGACCAATCAATTGGTGTTATATTTAATCGAATACGAGATGAATTTGTATTCAATTCCGCATTAAGATGTTTAAGTCTCATATTTAATTGATCGATAGAAGTATCAACACTATTACGTCGTCGGAAATCTTTTTCAATAGTTGCATTATTTGTTAACATTAAATCATTAACGCGTTGTCGAGCACGATCAGCAGTTTGTTTTACAAGTAATAATGTTCCACGTTCCCATTCATCGATTTCATCAAGAAGAGTTACTGGTTGTGAACGACTTGAAATTGATGAACGACGAGAAGTATTCATTTTTGTTTTTGAAATAAATAAATAATTTCGATTGTAATAAAATTGCGTCGTTAAGAAAAAAAAGTCTTTTCGCTTGTTATGATCGAGAGAGAAAGAATAATAAAAAATAATCGGACTTTTTTTTTCTTTCTATTATTAACAACACATTTTTCTTATATACGAAGAATAGTGAGACTATACGACGGAGTATTCTTTTTCTTCTATTCATACGACAGTATTTTTCACCAATCTTTATCGTAAAAATGAGATGTTTTTGAGAATATAAGGAAACTAATTTAGTTTTTGCCTTACTAATGTGATACTTCATAAAACTATAGAATAATAATAATAATACTATATATTTTGAATGAGAAAAGTGAAAAAGAAGAGAAAGCATTGCAAATTTTTGATCTAGAGTAACTAAAGAATAGATCAGAGATTTTTTTGAAAAAAAATCAAATAGCTATATTTTATATATATTCAATAGATTGAAAATAAAATCGTTTCAATCATGACTTTTTGAATATACTTTATTGTTAATATCAATATTCACATAACAATATTAATGCTGTTTAAACTAAATGCATTTTCAAAATAAAATTGATCTTATAAATTTTATGTTATTCTACACATATTAAATATGAAAAAATAAATGAACACTTGAAAAGAATACGAAAGTTTAATTTATTATTCTTCCATAACATAAATATGAAATTTTACATAATACATTAAATAACAAATTTCAATATGAATACGATTATAATTATATGCCAAAAGACTTTAAAATCTAATTTTATTTCTTTATGTTGATTGTTATATTGTTTTAAAGAAGACAACTAATAAAAATGCTTATAAAGATTTTTTTTCAGTAGTTAAGTTATTTATAGTATCCGTTTCAAAATAAGATATTTTACTAGAGAACAAAAATCCATGTAAAGAATATTTCTCCAATTAATATTAAAATACTTGTTTTAATATACTTGCAACTATTTGAATGCTATTTTAAAGAGGATGCTTTGAATTATATTAATATTAAAAAAGTTACTTTGAAAAAATACGATACATACATAAGTTTGTGTTGAATCTTATGCACTATTGAGTGGTGAAAACAACAGATTATCAGGAGTTGCTCCTTTAAAAGTTATAACACTTTTTTTCAGCTATCGTCATAGAAAATTTCGATATTAAATCTTCATACTTGTCTTATCTACATTCGATAAATACAGGTAATTATCGTTACGTGCACGATGAAAAACAATATGCTCCACGTAGATTCATTATATCATTGCTTTTTTTATCATTTGCACTAGGTGAGGACACAAATGGTCAATCTATCAGCAATTATTGCAGTACAGAAAGGACAGAAATATGCACTTGTTAGTCTTTTATGCAGACGTTATAATTGGATTAGATTTGTTATATGGGCACTTAAGAAACACCGTTTTTCTTATCGACATTTTTTTATATAATCGATGGTATATATTTTTGTTAAAATGAAAGAAAGCTATAGCTTATGCATCAATGATCACTACAACAAAGAAACGATATAAACATCCATCCGTCTGTTTCCTTTTGTCCTTATTTCATATATCGTATGATACTTTTTCTCGATCTTATTTCGTTCTTATTGACTTTTTCTTTCATATTATTTCGTTCTCTCTGCGATGGACAGGTATATAAGTTTATACTTTATATGAAAATGCGTTAATTTTTGGTACGGAACAATATAATAAATTGTAATAACATCAACACTAACATTTCTTCTGTCAGAAATTGTCGCACATGCAACAACACATGAAATGTGACTACATTCTACCTATATAATTAAATAAGAATAAGGAAAGGAATTGAAAGTGGAGGAATAACATCACAATAGCCAGAACATACAAAACATTTGAAACTTTGTATTTATAATGCAATAGATTGGATGTAGTATAACGATATACTACCAAGAAAATATTTTTTTAGCTTCATAAATTTTTTATCATTGAATAATAATTGTAAATATCAAAGTAAATTATTGTTCTCTATATAAAAATATTGAATGAGAATATTTTTTCAGACTAGTTGTCACGTACAAATTCTTAGTATATAATTCTTGTATATTATCATTAATAGTTAAGAGTATATCACATTCAACAACCGTGCTATTTCATTTTCTTGAAAGTAATTAAGTCAATGAAATGTGTGTAAACTCAAATATATTTTTGATTACTTAAACTAGAAAATGTAAATTATAAGAAAAAGGTTTTGTACACACAAGCCACTTGTATTATCAACAAAAGGATGTAAATTCCATCAAATATTTTTGTTTGTGAATAAAACATCAATTTCTGTTCATAAAATTTAATACAGGAAATCCTGTTTGCAAGCTATTTATATTTTAAGCATATGAAAATATGAGTAGAACACACGTTATTAATATTAGATCCTTTTTCAATGCACGCATATATAGATTGAGAACATTCGATCTATTCTTTCAAATATTGTCTTGAATCAATATACAATAGGACTTGAACATTTATTTGTACTAAATGAGAACAAATAACTAGCATTCATTTTTTCAAGAGCTATTATAACCATTATATTTGTTAAACACTCGAAGATGAAGAAGAGAAAGAAAAAGAAAAAGAAAATGACGATTCATTTCCCAATGTCATCATCATCTCGATTCCACGTACGTTTAATGCGTGAAGAAGATCGCAATGAAGTATTATCTTTATTACTAAATTCATTTTTTCAAGAAGAACCTTTGGCTAAATGTCTTGAATTAAATGAACCAATTGATTTTGCTGAAAATGTTATAAATGATGCATTACAAGATCATTGTTCATTTGTTGTGTATGATATTCAAACAGAACAATTAGTTGGTGTTTGTCTTAATGAAATTAAATTCGTAGATGATAAACATATTATTAATGAAACAAATGAAAAGATTTATTTTATTCTTCATTTTTTAAATCAAATGCATAAAAATATAAATCTTTTTCAACAATTTCAAACAAATTCACTTCTTCATATATTTATAATTAATATACAAAAGAATTATCGTGGTTATGGACTTGGTTCAAAACTAATTTCAGCTAGTATTGAACATGCAAAAACAATTCATATTAAAGGAATTTATGCTGAAGCAACAAATATTTATTCATTGAATTGTTTTAAACAACAAGGTTTTCAAAGTTATGATCAAATTAATTATACTGATTATGATCAAATTCGTTTAGCAAATCTGATTGATTCTCATGAAAATCAATGTCAACTTGTTGCACGAAATGTTTAGAAAGCTTTTATTATACTTAAAAAAATGAATACTTCAAAACACAAACCATTGAACATCTAAATTATATTATCGAATATACCAATATGTATCGTATTTTATTTGTACTTAAATATATCGAATAAAATATGATTATCTACACTACAGTAGATCGTATTAACTCGTTCGGAGAATCAGCACCTATACTAAAAGACCATTTTTAACTTCCACAATATGTTGATTGTATTCACTTTTACGCGTTTTTTGGATTCTCGAAACATTCATTCATACACAATTCATACATGAAATCAATGTTATTGTTATTGTATCCATATATTATATATTTTTCTCAATGCTTTCTTTTGTGTTGTGTTGTGTTATGATACTCACGTAATTTGATGATATTATAGTGTGTGTGTACTAGAACGTAAGAATCAATATTTTTCATTAAAATGTGTATCAAATAACATTTACCCTTTGAGAGTTGTGGTCACAAGGTGAACGTGAAATTAAATTTAGATGTTTTCGACACTATCAAACAAATCAAAGGAAAGATATTGATAATAAGTGTAAATTTTATATTTTTGTTGCATTTCATGAAGAAGAATAAATCATCACTTATTTCTTTCTATCTGTGTCTCTATCACATGTGCATGTTAGGTATTGTCACGTGAGGATAATAATGAATTGTTTTTGTCTAATGAAAATAGTTTTCTTCGTTACTATGTCTCTATATATATACGCACATCTACTCTCATAGTTTCACAAACCAGTTCTCATCGTACTTCAGTTTTACTTCACTTCACATTATTACTATTAATATGCCAGCCTGTTGTCGTTCATCATGTTGCGGTTGCGGTTGTGGTTGTTGCAGCAGTCCTTGTTGTAATTCATGCTGTAGTTCATGCTGTGATCCATGCTGTGATCCTTGTTGTGGTTCTTGTTGTGGCTCTTGCTGTGATCCTTGCTGTGATTCATGCTGTGGTCCTTGTTGTTGTAGTCCACGATGTTGTGTACGTACTACTGTATGCTGCTGCAAACCAACCTGCAAAGTTATCAGAAAGAAAACCGTCACCGTTCGTAAATCATGTACCAAGGTATGCTGTTGTTGATATTAACATTTTTGATCTTTTTCTATGAACTGATTCAATATCTAATGTATCACTATTAGAGTATTCTCTAACAATATTCGTATTACTCTTTCTTTTTTTATTTTGCTTTATACTTTTGTTTACTTGTTGCACAGTTAGAAAGAAGAAGATGTATTACATCACCTTCTTTGTTTTTATACACTTTGACAAGTAGTAAGAGAGATACATTTAGATCATTCTATTTCTTCACCTTATTTCCTTTGCTCCTCTCTCTCTCACTTGTATGTGCCTGGACAGGATGTGTATGAATAGCTAGTTTTTTTAAATAAAATTATTTAGTAAACAAGTAGAATATTCTTCACCTCATTCGATCATTTCAATTACAAAAGAGTTTTGTAATAATGAAGAAAAAATTTTGTTTGTTTATTCTTTATACATTTGGTTTCTGTCAAGATCCGTGCAATCAAATGTCGCACGACATACCATTTCAACTAGAGAAAGGTTAAGAGGATAGGTGTGGTTATAAGGTACTTGCCATGCCATTATTCACACTCACATCCACACATCTTTATCAAAGTCTAAAAGGGAAACAAAAATGAAACTGATACTTATAAAAAAATTCTTTATGTTTATCATAAAATACAGAAAATTATCAAACATCAAATGTAGAAGACTGATAAATTGCTTTTAGAAAATATTATGCACTGACGAATCAAAAGTTGTAGAGAATTCCTGTTCAACTTGATTATAGTATATTGCTTTCTTGACTACCAATTAATTCTGATTGTCTAGATTAAATAAAAACAATGAAAGATGAACTAAAATCATGTTGTACCTTATTGATGTACAATACATCACGAAGATATTGTGCGCCAGTATGGCGAATGTCGCACTTCATGAGATTCATTGTTATGTGCGCCTGTAGCAAGTGTCAATGCTGAGTTAATAAGAGATGGAGATAAATATTATCTTACTCGATTTATCTTTAATATCTCACTAAGATATTGTGTACCTTGTTCGCGGATATTGTTTCCAACTAGATCTAGTGTCGTAAGTGCCTGTGACGAATGAAGAAGGTGAGATGATGCGATAGACTAATTTTACTGGTACAACAAGAAGTGATGAACTAACGTTGTGAGACATATTTTTGATTTGATCTATTCGGGTAAAATGCATGTTCCTCTATAAAATTCGTTGTGGCGCTAGTGAATGTATTATGTTTCTTTGTGATTGTGCAATATTTTGGTAATTACACAGAACAGTAAAATGACGTTTTGAAAGTAAAAGAAATAACTTCTTTGTTATTACCATGTGCTTTCTAAAACATTTTTTTTCCATTTCTGCGTATATTATGATCGCTTCCATCTTGTATTATATTACTAGTAGTACCATCTCAAGTTCATTTCTAATAACTAATAATAGATATTCATACAGTCATCATGATTATTTATGATTATAAACGAACTAATTTGATTTTTTCATAAATATGTATTGTTTTGATGGTGAGGGTGAGTTAGCAAAGATGTATGATCGATGCTCAGACCGTTACCCAATCAAGCCCGTATTCTTTTATTTTGATGAATAATGTTACTAATGACATCATTGAATAATCCATTAAAAATCGTATTAAACGGATATTTTAGAATTTTATTCAATTTAACTTTAGACATTCACAAGATATCAACTTTATTCAACATTCTATAGTTTCGAAATATTTCATTTTTATTATGAAATTATTATAGAAAACTATTTATCAGTCAAATAATTTAAATATTCAATAAAATGTAACTATTGATTTAATCTATCTAATTGTTAACGATTGCATATAAAACAAGTAAACTACTTCAAATGAAAAATACAAAAGAATACATGATAGAATATGAATTGTTTGTATTTATTTAGGTAGTAAAAAATAGTCTAATTGAATGGAATTCTTAGATGTGGGTGTTAGCATTTAAATTAATTATCATTGTCGAAATAATGAATGATAAACACCTGATCGAAAGATAAAATCGAATTACGATATTTCTTTTGTTTTAATGTTTATTCTTTGTGTAGACTTTAAATAATCAACAAAACGTTGTGTTCAAAAACAAATTCTTAAACTATGCTTCCCTCTTTTTTTTTCTTAATTTTCTTCTGTGTTTTTTTTCTATTTGCTTATTTGTTCATCTGTATCTCAAACATTTATCGTTGACTACTAACTATAATAACTTGTCTTTCTTTTATTTTCACTGTTTTAATAACTCATTTCAACAGAAGAAACTTTGTATTGATTACAATAAGTAAGTGTGATAGTTGATTAATTTTTATTATTTTAGTAAATATGAAATAAATCGCAGAAACTTAATACCTAACAAGATGATTATTAGGTTCTAGCAGTGCTGAAGATGTTCTTAAATACAATAGGAGAAAAATAAGCATAATTAAAAGTGAAAAATAAATAAAAATAAAAAAAAAGAAGAGCACAAAGAAATGTATACTACACATATTCCACTCATAGATATCAACAAGAAAAGATTATTACAAAACACGAAGGATAACACCATCAAATGAAGAAATCTAGATGAATATTCTCTGTATCGTTCCAATTTTATTATATGCATCGTCGTACTGAGCAGAACCGTGTTTTTTTTATTAGATAATTTTTATTATTTAAGATTTGCGTCTTGGATTGATTTACTATTATGGAAGATAACTAATATTTCAATATAACAAATTGTTTGTGTATACATTGCTTTGTAGTGTTGCTAATGAGTCATCTTTTCTTTTGTTATAAAACAATTTAAGAAAACAATGTCCTTTTTTTCCCAGAATATTTTATATTACTGCCGCCTTGGTAAAATATTGTGGGAGGAAAAGCATGACTGTTTTTCCTGACTTCTTCCTTTTTTTCATCATCTTAAAAGTTATTCAATATTTAATACTTTATTCAGAGATTGCTTGCAATTGCAGTATTAAAAAAAATGTTTACATTTACAGCTACCATTTTCTAATTGAAGAAAACGTTGAAAATCTTTCTTTTCATGGATGAGTGTGACTATAACTAATAATATTCTTATTCCTTCTTCAAAATTTTTCAAAAATGAATTCATACGTTACTGAATGATTTGCCTGTATTGTTTGTTGAATATTTTTAGTGGTACATATTTTTGAATATATGCATGGATTATGGACAAAAATAAAGCATTATCTTCTAGCAGTGAATTTATTTCCATCAATACCACCATCAACTAATGAATCTGACCTTCGGAATCAACGAATATCAACAAGATTATTTATCATCATATTAGTTTTCTCAACAACTATTCTTATTGGATATAATTTTTTTATTGAGGTTACAAAGGTTAATAATATTAATTCACCTGATCTTGCTCAATATTTAGATTTATATTCAC